GCCACCACTCGGAACAACATAGAACTTGAATACATAATATTGACAGTTTGTAATTATGTCTTTATTTAAATCCTTCTAAGAAACATAATTTAAATTTGCTTTTGTATATTAAATGTATGTATTTTACTCTACTCCATATCGTCCCGTGAGTGTCCTACCTAAAAAAGCGTCAGAAAGAAATGAAAACGCAAATGGGCAGCAACATATTCGTAATCATAGAATACTATAATACACAATAGAATGGCTGTCAAACTTATTTTGTACGAGATTCCGCGTCGCCGGGAGCACACATACAAGCAATTACGTCGTATTACTACAAATCCGATTCACTGTTTTGACAGACCGAGTATATTTACACATTTTAGACTTTTGATTAATGTTCAAAATCATCATTGAAAAAATCTTTTAATTTTTAATACATAATAAATATGGTGCAATTTGGTATTTCCTAAATAATTTGCATGCGAAATTTGGAAACGATTGTTACGCCAAAACACATCTCGTGTTGACATTTATACGTGTGAATTGACATGTTAGTGACATTTATGTGGCTACACGGGCTCCGCCCACTCTCCCTTTCTATTATGTACATATTATAATATTCTATGCTCGTGATAACAACTCAAAATAAAATAATAACTGCAGTTGCCTTGGCGAGGCAATCTTTTAGAGAGGCCTATAGATCATAGGTTTAGCCGTGGACTTTTTGTAGCCTGTAATGAGGATACATTAAAATAGCCTCATGGTCATGTTGAAGTGAGTGTATCGTTTTATATTTTGTACAATACCCTTTTACTATGAATCAAAGAACGAAGAGTTCAGTCAGCTCGATACCCTGTCCATATTTTTTATTAAACCGTATAAAATCTATGTTCGTATTTAACTAGAAATACATTTTTGTTAAAAAAATTTGGATTTGGCAAGGTATAATGTCAATTTAGTTTCATTAAAGATTTTGTTTTATTTGTAAAGTTATCTAGTTAGTGAAAACATTTATAATGAGTTTTATTTCATCAAAACAATTATTAAAACATTGTATGAAGTTCGTTACGTACCAAGAATGGGATACATCGTGTTATATTGAAGTGTGCAACAAACACTGTACTGTTGCTTATTTTGGTCCCGATCAACGCTGTACTTCTTTATGAATTATAACTTGACCTTTCCTCGTGTTTTATAATTCTTTAAAAATTTATGTTAATAACTGTTTTTATCGTTCATCATGTTTTTCGAATTTTTTATGTTTTGTTTTCTAACATTTCTTTTCATATATATATATATATATATATATATATATATATATATATAATATATATATATATATATATATATATATATATAATGAAAAGAGATTTTAATTTATTTCATGTGGTATTATATAGTTGCGGTAAAACAACTACTGCGCTTTATTTGTATATGTATTTAAATTATAGCATAGCCCCCCCCCCCCGGCCCGGCTTCGCACTGATGACTTCTGGATCTCGACAACAGCGGGTTCTACAACTACCGGGTTCTCATGTAACCATTTGTTCAAACACACACAAAAAACAAACACAAAACACAAAAAATTTCATCGAAGTCGGTTGGATGCTTTCAAGGTCTATACCAGACCGTGGAAACATTTTTTGTATTTTACCAATGTATAGATTGAATTTTCTAAAATTCATTATTGAAGAGATAAAATAAAATAAACAAAAATTTCATTTCAATTTAGAAAAGATAACATTTTATTATCATATTCGTATTTTACATTATAAAAAATAATTTCTAAACATTGCAACATTGACGTATTCTTGTCCAAATCCAATCGACCTTACACGAAAAATGATGATTGTTTGATTATTATTGTGCGTTTCTCATAAATATTATAAAACATTGTTTTACAACGATGCAAATGTGTACAAATAAGATTTTGATGTAGTGTATATAGTTGATGTGAAAATTGGTGCAAAAGTTCAAAATAAGAATTCTAAAATATGGCTCTAACCATGTTCTTTATTTTGATTCATCCACATCAAAGTAATGCATATAATAATTATTTCATCATTAGTATGGCATGTAAGAGTAAACTTAAATAAAATATACACTGGTTTACTTATTAATTAAAGACAAGATTTCATTTAATTTCCAATGCATTACGCTTTGACTATATTTTTTCTTAATTTACTTGATTAAAATATTTTTATAAACAAAGCATTGTAAATTAAAATTCATTTAACCCTATTAAAGTAAAGCTGAAGCCAAAATCTAAATAAATGTATAAAATTAATGATAAAAATGAAGCGAAATTATAGTTATGTCAGTCGGTTAAAAAAATTGTCAGAGTGAATATTTTTTTTTAATGTACAACACAGCCAACTTTATAACAAGGTAGGTATTTGATCATCAATGAATGAAACCGTCGCTGAGTTGAATTCGCAATAATATTTCATTTGGCTGCATCATACATTTTAGAAACGCATATCAAAAGAAAATCAGTCTTAAAGTAAGATTACAGTTTAGATTAAATTTTATGTACAATTTAAACATAACTTGCTTTTACATCTAGATCTCAAAGATTTAAATAGATGCGCCTTCTTCTTGAAAAACCGTTGCATTATTTTTGAATGTGTGACACTAATCGGTGCGCTACCACGCGCACCATTTCCGTCTTTTTATATCTATTTATAGATGATCCCTTTATAAACCGCTTCCTTGGTACATCCGAGTATCTAACTAAATTGGTTATTAGAAGACTACTGAGACAATAGTGTCATCTCTTATTATGTTACGGAAATTGTGTATACTACTTTCTCTGTCGCACAGTTTCCGTTTGCCCGTAATTATTTCGCGGTATTTTCTGACATCGAAATAAACTAAAATTCCTCAGATCATATAAACAACAGGAGATATGGCAAGGAGGCGTGGCACTTGCGAACGCATCTGGCCGCAAAGCGGCCTGATGCCAGTTTCGGTAATTAGTCGAATGTCAACTTGTGACGTCTTCACTGCTCGTGATTTTTGACAAAATGCCGCGTTGTTCTGTGATTGCAAAAATAACAGCTGTATTGTGAATTACATGAAAGATGGCATCTCATTTCACACGTAAGTACTAAAATATTAATGTTTTTCTTATTCAATTTATTAAAACATTACTTCGTGGTACTAGAAACACGATGAAAAACCAAATCAAATGTTTTCATTAGGAACAAAAACCGTTGCGTGCTTAGTACAAATCGACCTGTGAATCAGCTGGTCTAATAGCGCAATGGATAAGTGTTTTACTGATACTCTCACTCACACGATAGTTTCGTGAAGCAGCCGCTGCCGGCTTTTGTGAGTGAATGATAGCGACAGATGTTTTTGTGTGAATAAGTTTTGTACGGTGCATGGTAAATGCACGCTGCGTATGATGAGATAAGGTTTATAATTGGTTGTGTAGTATGTTCTGATTTATAAAATGCGAGTGTGTGAGCGATTGTGTATCTATTGCTTTTACTGATGTGCATATGTAGTAGTTGGCGCGTGGTAGGGGCCAACTGGAGACACCGGGTTCCGATACATTTTCAACTACTGAGCATATCTCCTTATTTCTTATATCTATGTAAAATTCAATATTTAATAAAATGTAGATACTTACGAGTGAAATATTACACCCTGGGCTTTATTTGTGTTTCTAGCATTATTATTGCACTTTCTAAAGGCACAGGATGGCATTCTGAGAGTTTTTCTTTTGGTAAAATCAGCGCGTTAGTTCCAATGTGCAACATCTGGTAGTCACCGCGCACAAATGAGCAATGATTGCGAATGAGTGAGCTTACTCGTTTGAGAAATTGAGAATAAACACATTTCGGAGCGGTCATACTATGGTAAGGGCGCATCTAAACTATTTAAATCTTTGCTAGATCTATGTGACTTCGCGCCAAAATTTATTTACATAAAGAATAATTTGACATTCAATTTAACTTACAAATAACTGATTTCCGAATGTTTATTGACTCCCGAAGTCACATTATATGCTGCTCATTATCGAATATCCTCAAACATACATACAATGTACTTATAAAATCGTAAAAACATATATTCGCTATCTAGTTTAATCATAATTTACAAGTTATTATTTACATAGACCATTTTATAAATATACAATTTGGCTGGATACCTTTTAAAAAATCTTTCCGTTCATATTGAACTATAAAATTGCATTAATAAGACAAAAAATTAAACACCGTTTTTATTGTCAAACACTTTAGATAATTTTCCAGAACGAGGAAGAGTTAAATAAGATGTTTTATTATGGACATGCCAAATACCATTTCTCTATTCTAACTCTTATCTCGTATAAAAGAAAACTGATCTTATCTATGACAAAATTGTGCAAGTTTTATATAAAAAATAAAAAAAAAACAATAAATAAGTTATTACGCAACAAGTGCATATCTAAATTTGTTGAAAGTTTCATCTGACAGCTTCCTGTACCTCCGCTCATATCACAGTAGCGCGCTATAGCTCGCTCACTCACTACCGTCGCATCTGACTAGGCTGTCCTCTTTTCACATTAACCGAGTTTAGATTTGGCAACGTCACAATCGAGTTCGTTCGGCCAATTTTAAAACTTGGTGTTCTTGTCTAAGTTTCAAAATTAAATTGCTCATAGCATAAAATAAATATAAATGCTACGTTAAGTGCCATTTTGTTTGAGTTTTGTTCTGGTAGTAAATATTTACAATAAAAATTATAATATTAAAAAGAAGTAACATCAATGTTATGATATCGTAATATAAGTTAATAAATTAATGTTGCAAGGCTAAAAATAATAAAAACAAAAAATGCCTTTAAAATTAGCTAGCTGCTGGTATTATGCCTGTAATATTACTTCGAGTTGACTAAATCAAGCTGCACTGCACAACCATAAAACCCAAGTTTTAAACGAGAGAACATATCGAGACGTCGCCGAGAGGCACTTATATCGACAGTTCGACCTGTTCAAATTTCACGTGACGTCACCGGGCGGGAAACGTCTAGAACAAATCTGTGACGATAGTGCCGAACCAGGCGCAAACTACGGGCAGCGCGTAGGTGAACAGCGCCTTGCCGAGCGATGGCCGGTCTGCCGAGCCGGGCACGGACTCCCGGACCGGGGGAGAAGTCCGGCCGGACTCTCTGCCGGACTCGCTGCCGGACTCGCCGCGGGGAACAGCTGCCTCAATTCCGGCATCCGCGACCCGACCGCGCACGTTTACGTTGCTGGTGCCGGGCCCGCTGATGATGTTGGGCACGAACGGCTCCTCCGTTACTGGGACCGGTCGAGCTTCTGTAGGCGTTTCCGGTGTTAACTCGTCCGTCGGTCGGCTGTCGCCCGAGCCTAAGTGGATTTAAATAATTTAGTATTAATTTTGGGTCTCACTATGGTAACGTTTAAAGTCTAAAAGCCCTGTTACTTATCTCTGCAACTAAACAGCAGTACACTCACTTCTGTATTTCAATTTGAGGAATATCAAGTTGAAATCCATTGTAATTATAGACTTTGTAGTATCCATCAGTCCTCAATGCTCAAACACCATACAAAGGTTAAGCTCATAACAGCTCCTGTTATAATCATAGTACAAATGGCAATCCACCTCTTGTGCCTAGGAATCCGTTTAAGTAAGGTTCTGCCACTATAATTGCTACTTGCTTGAACTGCTGTGTCAGTGTCATCAGTCTGATGCTTACAAGGAGTCAGTATAATTACAGGCCGTGAAGCATTCCATCTTAGTCGTCAGAGATGACAACATATCTAAAGCCTTTGTTTGAAGTTGGCTGCGGATGTCCATGGACTGCTTTAGCCACTTACCATCAAGTGTGTTTGTAAACAAGTATGTTTGTTTGTCATGTCAGCTTTATAAAAAAAAGTCCAAAGTCACAAGTATTCCGTATCTAAAAGAAAATGTATAATGAGTATCATACTACATAAAACGGCAAAAAATAATAGTTATATTACCTTCTGGATAGTCTGGATTGACGTCTCTATCCTCGTCGTCGTCAGGTAAGTTCTCCGTGTCGTCGGTGTCGTCGCCGGAGCCCGACCCTGAGCCCGCAGTCTCCACGAAGTCGAGTGAGGAAGCACCTGCCTCTTGGAAGTTGTCTGTTGGTGAAGAATGTGACGATTATTTCAAGTTAGCATTTTAGAGTACTAACCAAATTAGATTGAATTTTAAGACATTAATCAGGCACACTTTATGGGACGATATGACTTTCATCGTCACCAAATACAAAGGTATTAAAATGATAGAGCCACGCCGCAGCTATTATATATTACGATTGTACACTAATGGGTCGGATCGATGGGGGAAGGACTACGCTCTAACAGAATACCAGACATAGCAGCTTAATGTATCTGTGTGTTCTTAAGGGGAACTATAATGTCAAATGGCTTAGCAAGATCCTTCGTTATGCCGAAAATATTGCAGCATTAATTTTGAAATAAATATATGGTAAAGTTGAGGATTAATGTTAAGGATTATGTTAGACGAAAACACGATTTCGTAAAATTTTCTCGATAGAAAAAAAAATCCAAAGTTACCTCCAAAATAAACAATAAACCGCTGTTATTCATAAAATACTTTAAATAAGATCATGATACTTTACATACTAACTGAACTAACTATAAAGCAGTGCTTATGTTATTTACTTTTTTTAAAATACCATAATTTTTACTGTAAAAAGAAGTTACCTAAACTATTGGCCTTTTGAAACGTGATTCCTGCAGCACGGTCACTTCGCCTCGGCCTTTGGACGGAAGGTTGTGTCGCTTACGATCAGAATATACATTACGCAACAGTACGACGTAAAATTAAAATGGGAAATAACCGTAATAAAAATAAGAAGCGGCTGGCTTGGCGTTAAGAAACAGGCATAAATATGATAAACCTATTGAAATAAGTATCTAACGAGCTATCTACTTACAGTTTAGTGATTACAAACATATCGGTACATAGCATACGACGCGCGGGCAAGTGGGGACGAAATTAGAATTTGAGCTGACTTTATTCTCTTAAGGTGACTATAAAGAACCTCAAACCCTTTTACTAGCATCGAGATATTTTATCTTAGTCCCTTGGGATGATAATTCATCGACATTTTGATTATTTTGACATAGTATCCACTTGCCATTAGGTGAACAGTGTGCTTGCTTATCACTCTTGTTCTAATATAAATGTATGTTACTAAAAAGTTATCTACTTCTAGTTGAGTTCGATGCTTATTATAATTTATTTAATTGCTTTAAGCATTTTTCCTCGTTATATATTAGGAAATCGGATGAACTAGTTACAGTACGTGAATATAAATAATTAATTTTTACGTTTACACTTTTCAATTTTTTTTTCTAACTTCTTGTCGCGCATAACTGCTATCAACCAATTGATAAATAAATTCGGGTAGTTTGGGCACTGAGCTTTATTTATTTTATCTCAGCCGTAGAAAAAACACCATACATTATCGGTCCTCCGAGCCGGATGGTAAATTAATTTTATAAAACCTCAATTCTTATTCCTGCAATTTAAAAAAAAAACTATAAGACTAATAGTCTTGCGAACTATAAATTTAATAAATTAATAAATTTAATAATTTTGCTGGAGAGTTGTAAAGAAGCACTCTGGTTTTAGTTGAATAAACCGAAGCTTTTTATAGAGTATATTTAAATTTTTTTGACGTAAAAAAGTTTAATAACGTAAATTCATAACTCCTTTTTTGCGTATGTTGTAAAAGAAAGAGGAAGAGAATATTGCTCGAAAGAACGGCATTCGATAAATTATTGAATAAACATTTTAAAACATGAATATCTCCATTTAATAACTAGTACTGTGATTTCCAAACTTACTGTCGAGCACCTGTAATTTTTAAGAGGCTTTGAAAGGTCACTATGACCAGCCTTCGACTGTTTACGGGCTGGTTGAAGTTGGCTCAAGATTCTTACCTTCGTCCTTCCATTGAACTTCAACGCCGTTATACGCATCCTTGAGTCTTGCGGTGAGTGCGCGTAAAGCGTCGATCTGCACGCGGGCAGCTGCCACTGGCCCAGCGGCGATAGCACCTGTACTGCGCACCTCCGGGTTCGAAGCTAACGCGGCTGTGCCGTCACCTGCCGTGCTGCTCGTGTAACTGCAATATGTTTGATTAGTTAGAAACGTAAAAAAACGTAGACAAGCAGTTATACTATGGTTGCAGTACGAATGGGTCGGATCGACCGGGGAGATACCAGGCTCCCACAGAATACCAATGTAAAATAGCAGCTTAGTGCTGCTGTGTTTCATATGGGCAGTTTCTTGAAAACGAGTTAGGACTCTTAATTATTATTGAAGAAAGGATATATGTAGATGTCTATAAGCAACAGTATCTCCTTACCATCAGATGGACTGTGCCGGTTTGTCACCACTATTCTATAAAAAAAGTATGAGCCAGCAGATAGTAGATTACAATAACCATCTACTTAGCCAAGGCGGCTAAGTAGACACATTATCTTGAGGTTCATATCACCATCAGAGCACTTATTTCATCGTTTCACATGCGCAGACATTTGTTACACAAGATCACGTAACAAAATCCACTTCAAACTATTATTTAAACAATAATACAGAAGTAGCAATCCGCCAGCGTAAATTCTTCGCCCAGTAGCGGCGCGAGGCTTTGAGTTAGAGTTAAAGGAGTATGTACCTGGCGATCGCGGAGCCGTTGTAGCAGGGCGCGGTGGTGACGCTGAGCGGCGCGCAGAGCGCGGCCGGCAGCTGCGCCCAGTAGCGGCGCGAGGCTTTGAGTTAGAGTTAGAGGAGTATGTACCTGGCGATCGCGGAGCCGTTGTAGCAGGGCGCGGTGGTGACGCTGAGCGGCGCGCAGAGCGCGGCCGGCAGCTGCGCCCAGTAGCGGCGCGAGGCTTTGAGTTAGAGTTAGAGGAGTATGTACCTGGCGATCGCGGAGCCGTTGTAGCAGGGCGCGGTGGTGACGCTGAGCGGCGCGCAGAGCGCGGCCGGCAACTGCACCCAGTAGCGGCGCGAGGCTTTGAGTTAGAGTTAGAGGAGTATGTACCTGGCGATCGCGGAGCCGTTGTAGCAGGGCGCGGTGGTGACGCTGAGCGGCGCGCAGAGCGCGGCCGGCAGCTGCGCCCAGTAGCGGCGCGAGGCTTAGAGTTAGAGTTAGAGGAGTATGTACCTGGCGATCGCGGAGCCGTTGTAGCAGGGCGCGGTGGTGACGCTGAGCGGCGCGCAGAGCGCGGCCGGCAGCTGCGCCCAGTAGCGGCGCGAGGCTTTGAGTTAGATTTAGAGGAGTATGTACCTGGCGATCGCGGAGCCGTTGTAGCAGGGCGCGGTGGTGACGCTGAGCGGCGCGCAGAGCGCGGCCGGCAAGCTGCGCCCAGTAGCGGCGCGAGGCTTTGAGTTAGAGTTAGAGGAGTATGTACCTGGCGATCGCGGAGCCGTTGTAGCAGGGCGCGGTGGTGACGCTGAGCGGCGCGCAGAGCGCGGCCGGCAGCTGCGCCCAGTAGCGGCGCGAGGCTTTGAGTTAGAGTTAGAGGAGTATGTACCTGGCGATCGCGGAGCCGTTGTAGCAGGGCGCGGTGGTGACGCCGAGCGGCACGCAGAGCGCGGCCGGCAGCTGCGCCCAGTAGCGGCGCGAGGCTTTGAGTTAGAGTTAGAGGAGTATGTACCTGGCGATCGCGGAGCCATTGTAGCAGGGCGCGGTGGTGACGCCGAGCGGCACGCAGAGCGCGGCCGGCAGCTGCGCCCAGTAGCGGCGCGAGGCTTTGAGTTACAGTTAGAGGAGTATGTACCTGGCGATCGCGGAGCCATTGTAGCAGGGCGCGGTGGTGACGCCGAGCGGCACGCAGAGCGCGGCCGGCAGCTGCGCCCAGTAGCGGCGCGAGGCTTTGAGTTACAGTTAGAGGAGTATGTACCTGGCGATCGCGGAGCCGTTGTAGCAGGGCGCGGTGGTGACGCTGAGCGGCGCGCAGAGCGCGGCCGGCAGCTGCGCCCAGTAGCGGCGCGAGGCTTTGAGTTAGAGTTAGAGGAGTATGTACCTGGCGATCGCGGAGCCGTTGTAGCAGGGCGCGGTGGTGACGCAGAGTGGCGCGCAGAGCGCGGCCGGCAGCTGCGCCCAATAGCGGCGCAAGGCTTAGAGTTAGAGTTAGAGGAGTATGTACCTGGCGATCGCGGAGCCGTTGTAGCAGGGCGCGGTGGTGACGCTGAGCGGCGCGCAGAGCGCGGCCGGCAACTGCACCCAGTAGCGGCGCGAGGCGCGCACGCGCGCACGCGTCTCGCGCCTAAGACGCTCCAGCCCAGGGCTGCCCCACTCCGCGCCCGTGCCTGCTCCTGCGCATACGTACACGCACACTCAGTGTTGCCAGAGGGTTACATTTCACAATCAGAAGTTATGATTTACTAAAGAACCAATGAAATCGGGAATTGAAATTTAACTTCTTATTTACTAAGGGCACCAATTAAATTGTTAATTGTAATTTAACTTCAAATTTACTGTCTGCTCGTTGGTGAAATCAAACATCATGAGGTACATCAAACTACATGTCTAAGAAATAAAATATTTCGAGGACACGTGAAGTTTGCCAACAAGCATTGGAGCAGCGTTTGAGACTTATTGCTTCAAGCCCTGTCATAAATGAGAAGAGGTCTATTCTTAGCAGTCGGACGTATAAAGGCTGCATCTTTTAACCATTCGAATATATTTAAAACATATTGTAACATAAAAATCGTATTAAGTTTTATTTCCCTACAGAGATCACATTGTCACATATAATGTATACGCGTTCTTTATAAAACAATAGATTGTCGGTATAGCGGTGTTTCCAATGTCACCAGTAGAAGCGGCCGTAACGGTTAGTTTTCATACATTACGATGTCAGGACAGAGTAATGAAAGGGGATATTACAGCCATAAAATCATATGGTTCCGCTGTTGTCTATTGTTGCACTAATGAGAAAACTAGAGCATAGAACTGACAATTAACCAAATTCGAAAATCAATTTGCTGTTGTTCTTTTGAAAATCTTTAATAATCGCGATAGCTTATTGATTAGTCTGCGAACGTAAGTTTTGCAATCTTTTGAAACATGACACTTTACAATTCGGAATAGATTTAACACATTGGCGTATCTAGGGTCATTTTCCCCTGTGACCGTTGTAGCCGAAGCCTAATGTACGCAATAACATACAAAAAGTGAAATTTAATAATATGTCGATTTTACAGCTGTAACTGTAAATTATTTCCTTGTTTGAAATTGTTTAAGTGCTTACTAAAATTTTGCGATTGATACCAAACAATTCTCGGATAAGCAAAGCCCACCCGTTTTAAAATAAAATTTGTAAACTTAGCTGGCGAGTATAATCCAAAATCGGTAGCGCAATGGCGAAGCATTAGGTCGTAGTGATGCGGGCCGCTCCCGATTCCCGCACGTAACATAAAAGTTAAAGTTACAGCCTATATACGTCCCACTGCTGGGCACAGATCACCTCTCATTTCTGAGAGGGTTTTAGGGCAAGAAAGTGTCCGCCGCGCTGCCCCAGTGCGTGTTGGCGGATGACTTCACATGTCTTCGAAATATTTTTTTTATTTCCCAGACATGCAGATTTCCTGACAATGTTTTCTTCACCGGTAAGCACGTGGTAAACGTAACATGAATATTTATGTTCCAGATCTGGAGGTTTCTCCTTCTGCAATTTATAGTATCTAAAAATGATACGCGGTAGTGATAGTAAATATAAAGTATGTCTTACCATGAACGTCATCTGATTTACTGGAAATGGGTTTCTTTTTCTTCGAACCGCGTTTACCATCGAAGTCGTATGGCTTCATATAAATGTCCCCACCGGCAGCGTCGGGCTCCGCGTCTCTCTTTCTCCTCTCATGTTCCTCGTAATCCTCCAAATCTATATGTCCCTTCATATACTGGAGGAACTTGGCTCTCGACTTGGCTTGCTCTGCCATCTCCTCTGTCGCCTTCCTGATACTGTCTGGTGTCTGGAGACTGAGTAATGACGGGTCGTTGTTCATTAAACTCTCGAAAGACGCTTCTATTTCGAAGTCATCCATGTCGTTTGTTTTCTGGTTCCAATCAAAGTCCGGAATGGACCGGGCGAAACGTCGTGATCGGTCCGGAGCGAAGAACGGTCCGGTACTGCCGCCGCCGCCTAGATCCGGTTTCCCGCAACCGGCGAATATTTTCTGCGATATTTCTTGGTTGTGCTCCTGGAAGCTCATTATCGCCTCCGATATCTTTATGTCTATCGGTTCAACGACCATTGCTATGTTGAACGGGCCTTGGAGTCGATCGGCCACTTTTTCTACCGAATCTGAAACATAATATTGTTATTATTAGTGGTGAATCTTTAACGAAGCGGGTATGCAATCATCATCAATATTGTCCAAGAATTTATAAACTCTAATATTATTTAATATAAAGAATAATAGCAATAGATGTGTGTTATCAAATTAGCAATTTGCATACGCGGTAGAGGTATGCTGCAGATATATTAAGGTTGCAGCACGAATGGGTCGGCTCGACCGGGGAAGGACCACGCTCTTACATAATACCAGCGTAAAGTAGCAACTTAATGCTACTGTTCCGTATGGTGAGTGTAGATAACCGGAGAATCTATTTACTAGAAATAAGGTGTTTCAGCTTATTCCCCAGGGATGACAACGAATCTGCATTTTGGTTCTTGGTCGAAAAGGGATGTTAATGTCTATAGGCAACAGTATTCACTTACCATAAGGTGACCTGTGTACTCGTTTATAAATCGTATTTTATATACAAGCATTATATAAACACTACTTTGTTGCTGTGACTCTGACTGTGACTTACGGATCTGAGACGTGGTCCTTCACTGTTGGCCGTATGAGGACGCTCAGGGTCGCTCAGCGAGCTATGGAGAGGGCTATGCTCGGAGGTTCGCTGCGTGATAAACTCAGAAATGAAGACATCCGCAGTAAAAACAGAGTGACCGACATAGCCCAACTGATTAGTAAGCTGAAGTGGCAATGGGCCGGCCATATAGCTCGAAGCACCGATAACCGATGGGAAAGGAAGGTTCCCGAGTGGCACCCTCTTACCGGTAGGCGTACTGTAGGGCGACCCCCCACTAGATGGAGTGACGACCTGGTAAGACATGCAGGAAGTCGATGGATGCAGGTGGCTCAGGACCGTGCTTTGTGGCGTTACTTGGGGGAGGCCTATGTTCAACAGCGGACTTGTGAAGGGCTGTAATGACGATGATGATGACTGTAAATTTACTGGGTAGTGGCGGCATAATTCATCCCGTGGGTGGCGCGTAGGAAGCGACAGAGGGAAAGTGTAACAGAAGATCTGCAAAAGCGTATTCATGATAACAACTACATATAAAAAAACTAAGGTTACCAATTTGCCCCACAAGCGTGGCAACTATAGCATTATGCCCCTAAAAAGAATACTAGCAGTACTTTTAGTACTACTAAACTCCAAAGGTGGTTTTCACGACAGTATTAAAATGGCGGATTCGAATTATGAACCCACGACTTTTGAGTTTCGCAGCCTGTATGCTTGACCAATAGGCTACTTATACTGTCGTCTAAAAGGGGGATGGGGAGGCCTTTATTCAGCAGTAGACTTTGATTGGGTGTAACGAATAAATCAATGAAGAATCACTTCTAACTTTATTACTCAATTCGAACTCTCAACTTTTTAACTTTGCTAGGTAACCGTCGCATCCAACTTTAACCATTAGATGCCGTGTTCAAAGATGTAAAATTCGATACATACCAACATAAGCATCCCACAGCTCTCCGAGGTCTGCGTGCGAGGGCAGGCAGCCTCGGAGCACGTTGTGGCAGTAGCGGCTGCACGCCGGCGCCTGCAACTCGCCACAGCTGCCACAGAATCGAAGCCGAGCCCACGCAGTGGCGCACTCACGGCTCAGTTCAACCTAAGGAAAATTATTAAGTAAGTGAACTCGGTTAATCGTATTTCCAACGTAGCACCATAAAGTAGCAGTGTAGGAATATCCACTGCCCCATATCGTCTCGTGGATGTCGTGAGAGGCGAATGAGGGAAATAAACTAGACAAAACAAAAAATTTGAAACAAACATTTGAATGGGATGCAGCATCTTCCTGATAACAAGTATGAAAAAACTACGGTTACCAAGCGTGGAACCTATGGCAAATATCCGCCTTATGAGTTGATCTATAGCGGAGCCGATGTTCAGTGCTTTGAACTTTTATAGGCTGTCACGGCAAGGTAAGTCTCGTGTTTAAAAAAGAGTCTGTCATAAAAGAAACCTGTAGCAGCGACGTCACAGACTTCGTGAAATTTGACATTTGCTGTCAAATGCCATACTTTACATTTTTGTTCGCATATTTTTTTATGGAATAAGGGTGACAAACAGTCCACCTGATGGAAAGTAGATGCTGTGGCGCATAGACTTGTACATTCATCCCCGATTAAGAATCAAAACGCAGTTGCGTTGTCGCCCCTGAAGACTAAGATGGAATGCCTCGTTTCAAATAAAAAATACGCTATTTTACGCTGGTTCTATGAGAGCGTGGTCCTTCCCCGTCGAGCCGACCCATTCGACCTACAATCAAATATATCTGCAGCGTGCCTCTGCCATGTACAAAATCCACGGGACTTCTTTATTCCCTAAAGCATGGTTATTGATTATACGAAAATGACATTAAAAGCCTTTCATATCTACACAGTAAATACGATTCTCCTTTAAAATCGATTCACGTCTGGATAACATCAAGTGGCGCTGTAGACGTTACACTTACATGGACGCTAATTGTGTGTTAATTCCCCTCACGAAGTTGCACATTGTCGATACGGATCATCTTTTGATTAAAAACAACCTTGAATATAGCAATCTATACTTGTGAAACATTACATATAATTCGCTTTCATAATGCCATTAGGTACACGAATAAAGTACTTTTTTGCGTTCAATAACATTTTTTATGACACATCAAACTTGAGATAATACGACTGACTTGAATCACAATTATAACAATACTTTACTTTTTTATTCCTTTTTTTTTAATTTATGTACTTTTATGTCTAAAAGCCGTTTACAAATAAATTGCATAGGGACAAACACCCAAGACCCGGATCAACTATTTATCCGCAGTATAAAAACATGTTCCGTGCGGAAATAGAACTATACGCTTAGGCACTGCGTTCGATACTAGCCGTTAGATCATCGTTTTTCTTATCTTGTTACACTAAGCACTAAGCTTATCATCAGATGAATAGTAGTAGAATATTAATAATAGAAAAAAGGGTTCTGAATTAATAATTAATAAATATTATATATATTACACTAGCTTGGAATAGAAACATTAAATATTTGTAATTTTCTGTAGTCTTTAATTGTTACATATTTATATCTGAAATGATTCCCACGCAATATATATGGCAATAAATTAAAAAATGGAAGTCATCTGAATAGAAACAACAAGTAAGGTTAAGGAATGATAAGGGTTGTCAAAATTTAAATAATCATATTAATAATAACTTTCTAATTTACGAGCACGTGTACAGGTACATTCAAACATGTAGACTGTATTAACATTTCTATGCATAATACCAATAGGAATTATTTCTAATTTAATAGTAAAATACTTGATTTAACATTTTTAAAAATATTGTCTTTTTAAATAAAACTAATTTTACGGGTAGAAGCCTATATCATACGTGGGGCGTTCAATGTATTCTCGGTATTAGGGTGATTTGATAATAATGTGTATAATTTTAAAAAAAATAGCTAATGACACTGCCTGCGGGTACAAATATGAAACTTCGTCTTGATAACTTCATTACTCCTTATGTAACCTTAGTCACATACGACGGGAATAATTGACTCGACAATGTTGAAAAAACTCGAACACCGTGTGGTAATTAAATTCCTCACTAAACAAGGAAAAATTTAAAAAAAACATTTAATTTCAATTGCTACGGAAGCAGTCAGGTAATGCAAAAAAGTTTATGTGCAAAGAGCTACGGAATAATTGTATTAGTAATATCGCAAGTAAGAATTAAGATGTTAGCAGAAATGACTAACCTATCCGTTGGTACCATACACACGATATTGCATGGCTATCTCAACCTCACAAAAGTAAGTGCAAGATGGGTGCCGCGAACGCTCACTGCACTACAAAAGAAGGCGCGGGTTGACTGTTGTAGAGAATTTTTAGAGCTGTGTGGTGACGATCCAGCAAGTGTTTTGGACAGGATAGTTACAGGAGATGCAACGTTCTCCGCTATGATTCTGAGAGTAAACAGAAGTCTATGCATAATAAGGGATCACACCCCCTCAAGAAGTTCGAAGTCAATCCATCGGCCTGTAAAATCATGGCAACAGTATTATGGGATTTCAAAGGAATACTTGGTCGAGTACACAAAAAAGGTGAAAAAGTGTCTTGTTTTTATATTAAGGTTTAATATAAAATCAAGACATTTTTTCAAGGGAATAGAAAAGCTTGTTTCACTAGCAAGTAAATGTATTAATGTTAAAAATTTTTTTTTACTACGAAAACATTGAACGTACCTTGCATTGGGTATTTTCTTATAAACACGATAACATTCGTACAATTAGTTGTATTAAATGGGTAATATTTCTGTAAATATTAAAAAAAAAACATTTTTATTGTATTATTTTATAAAAGAAGATATTAAGAAAAGTATTAATTTGTGAATATACGAATATAATATTGCACATTAAAAATCTGTACCAGATAGGTGATTCCCGTGAAGTCGTCGTCCATTCGCAAATTTAACATGTAGGATACAGTATTTCGATAATACAGCAATTAGCAACCCTAATCGGCGACGATTCACCTTGCATTGTACGGAGTGATGTCACACGGGATGGTCGTGAATATAAATCACAATATTATAAAATTTATTAAAGTAACCGTTCCAAGAATCGCACATGTTTCATTTGTGGACGGCAGAATAATTAGAAATATAATATAATATAATATTCATTGCGGATTGTGCGTCATCCGGCGCCAGCAGGGATCAACGGACGTTGTGAGTCAGCGGATGATGATACAAATATTTTAAAAGACCAAAGGTTTTTGTGTTGTAATCTACTAAGACAGTTTGAGAAAATGTTTGTATGTATGGAATACAGTTACGCATAAAGGGAGCTAAACGAATTTGGACGAAATTTGGCACATGGACAGACCATAATATAATTCAGGATTTGACACAGTGTATTCGCCTTATATAAATATCTAATATATTAAATATCTATACTACACATTTTAAAATAGCCGTTTTTATTTGGAGTACAATTATTTGCAAGAAATCTCTGGCTCGAAATACTGTTGGATTTAATAACAATGTTTTTTAAACAATTTACTGGAATTCAATCTCTCCACAAACTTTTGAAAATGAGAGCGATGCCAGCCAGCGGAACTTTATACAGGTGCGACCATTAAATTAGTTTTACTCAATTCACAAAACTATACCACAACAAACTATTTTAATCAAGCAACTAGGTTAAAAAATTTAACCGACTTCGAAAAGGAGGAGGTGCTCAATTTCGGCTGTATATTTTTTTATGTTTGTTACCTCAGAATTTTCTAGGTGAAGCGATTTTGATGATTCTTTTTTATTTGAAAGCTGGTGATTCTCGTATGCCATATAAATTTGATCAAGATCCGACCAGTTGTTTTTGAATTATCCTAAACAATGTGTAATTATTTAACTTAGAATACATTGATGATGTTCTCATTTTATTAATTATTAAAGTCGTTTGAACAAAATTTTTAATTTTTCCACTTGTTAAATATAATTGGCTTTGTATATATAATGTGTAAATACGGGTACTTTAAATGCTACCCTTCTTCGCCGGCTTGAAAATCTTGAAATCCGATCCAGCAGCGAATAGGTTTCGGCTCATAGAGTAAAGACCGGGCTTAACACGGCAAAATTTGTATAAGCGACTAAAAATTTAAAATCGATAAAATGCAGATCCACCGTCTGCTCTAAGAACAATTTTAAATTTCTCTTTCTCGACGGCATATTATTTTTAATAATAATCTTACAAAAATTGCGCCAAAGAAGAGAAAATCGCGCGAAAATATTTTTAAAACTAAAACATAAGTAAGTAAGAAGAAAATCTTGTCGAAAACGAACTATTACTAAGTATTACTAGGTAATCTGTTTTGCTCGCCATTTTTCTTTCCGTAATACTTATATAGGCCTCTATAGCTTCTGTTTCCGGACTAACCTCGACACTACGCACGTATCAAGTACCCGCCGTAAACCTTCAGCAAGGCGATCGGTTGCGTCGTGAATATTGATTTGATTTTGTAAAATAACAACTTGCCAAAATTTGCATGACACAAAACGCCGCAGTGGTTGGCGCCCGCCGACATTGTTGTATGACGTTCCTCAATGTTTTGTATTGAAATTTGTCGGTGCGAATTATAGATTCATCACTGCATTTAAGAAACTGATGGAGAATTTATAATAACAATCTATACTTATAAAATCAATTGTCCTGCGTTATTCTGCAAAAACTCAAAAATGGCTCGACAGATTTTTGATAATTTTTTTCGTGTGTGTTTGAGATGGATGGTCTAGATTCGCACTTGAATCCGGTAGGTGGCGCTGTTGTCGAGATTCAGAAACCACCCGAGTGAAGTCGGGGCGCATCGCTAGTTACTTATTTAAATCAATTGCCGTGCGTTAATCTCGCAAAAGCTCGAAAATGGTTCGGCCGATTTGATGAAGTTTTTTGTATGTGTTTGCGTGGGTTTCCCGAGATGGTTTGTGCCTACAATTGGGCCCGGTAACTAGTGCTGTTGTTGAGATCCAAAAATCACCTGTGCGTAGACGGGACGGATCTCTACTGATATATATAAAAAATGTAGTACGTGCAAAAATCACCAAAAACGCCAGAAATGTCTCATTTCATAGCCTACGATAGATTGTATTTAAACCGATCTAGTATTATAATAAATTAATATTATATAAATATATTAAAACTTTTAAAGAAGTTAGTACAATATCAAAACAAAGAAACGAAATCCAGTATACGAAAACCCACAGTCTTATTAAGAAAGCTTTCGGCTTTTCATTTTGAATTATATACTCAAAAATATGAAAACCAAATGAATAATAAAGTACAATATATTAGAATACTTAATAATAAAGTGAAAACGTAATACGTGAGAGAAACAACGCCCCTACATTAATTCAATTTATAAATGCAATTGAAAGCTATTCGTATTCAAAAGCTTCGTCTATCCCTCGTTTCGCCGTCACAATGAGTCAGGCAGCTTGTCGTGCTTCCACTTGGACAAAATTAAAAGTAACAATCTGCATACGTCCCACAGCTGGACACAGGCCTGCTCTCAAATCGACATGGCGACAGACAGTATTTGCTCGATGTGAATATTCGCATCGATAATCCGTTCGTTGTGAGCAAATGCTCATGACACCTGGATCTTCGCGACGGATATATACTTGACTATACTTCAGCTGTTGTAATGAAAATGGCGGACGTAGATATAGTGTGTGCTGCGTTCTTTTTGATCCGTTATTGTTACATAAAGAAGAAAAGAAAGCGTATTTGGAGAATGAATTTGTTCAAAATGAGAAATAAAACTTCTTTTCTGATTCCACTGCATTTTAGCAAACCCAAACAACCACGACAGAAACAGAGCATTGCCGATTAGTATACTGGATGACCTTTTTTACCGTCTGAAAAAAAGGGTGTAGGTAACATGTAAACGGATATTTTCTTTCAAATGTTTAATTCAAAAGTTTTATTTTTATTTTTTATAAAATATCAGTGCCATAGGTTTCTACTCCGTTCACATGTTACATCCTATTTTTTCCAGACGGTATAAAAGGTCATCTAATAATGTAATGGAGCGCGCTCGGGTGCTCGGCACTCGTTATCGAGCTGCTCAGCTCGCTGTACTCATATGCCGAATATTCGACTTATAACGTGCTCACATCAAGCAAATGCTCATGTCATGTTTTAATTTCTTAGACACGCAGGTTTCCTAACCTTTCATTCACCGTCAAGCGCAAGATAAATTAGTATAGTTATAATTGAAATGAATAATTTAAGTTATGATAGAGAGAACGAATTGGTTGAGTGACCAGGACTTAGACAAATTTCGTTGTAAATCGTGTCGCATTAGTGTCGTACCTGCATCATGTTGCGCACGACGTCGGCACCCGCTCGCAACGCTTTATGGAAGGTCCGCGTCGCGACGAAAGCGCGCCGCAGTTGCACCGACAACTTGTGCGGTACGTCCTCGAACGGCTGGATGTCGCGCATGTGCTCGTTCAGACAACGCAGATACCTGGGAATTAAAAAAAGCATACATTGGTTTTCTAACTCGACTGTGGTGAAGCCCAAAACACTTTTGGCGAGCTATATTTTTAGCTGGTGTGTTGTAAATGTGTATATTATCCGCTTCTACATCCGCTAGACTTCCTAAACAAGATGTTGAATTTTGAAAAATATATCTCAATTGATTTGTCATAATTGAGCGGGTAACATGAAGAATATATATGTACGTGGTAGAGCCATGTTGCATCTACATACATTACTGTTGTAGCGAATGGGTCCGCTCAACCGGGGCAGGACCACTCTCTCACAGAATACCGCCGTAAAACAGCAGCTTAATACCGCTGTGTTTCGTAAGATGAGTCTAAAGAACCGGAGACTTTATAGTCCTCAGGGGTGACAACGCATTTGCGTTGTGATTCTTAAGCGGAGATAGATGCTTGTGGACCACATCACAGCATCCACTAACGATCAGTTGGGCTGTGTGCTTGTAGGTCACCCTTATTCTACTAAAAAAATGCGATCTTAAAAAATAATTAGCAAGTGTATCATTTAACTTGTCTACAAAATGTAATGTGTTGTTATATTAGTTAGATCGATTAGCGCAGTTAGGCTCCTTGTTTTTAATAACAATTTACGAGTTAAATTTTGAATTTTAAACTGGCAATAATGAACAGCGTTATCGCTATCTATCTATTAATTTTACTTAAAATGTAAGCGGTAATTTTAAAATAGTTTCTCTCACCACCATTGCAAAATACCTACTCACTTTCCATAAAAAAAAAACAAAGCAAAATAATCTGTTTTTCAATATCCTCATGAAAACGTTCCGCGTACATATGCGAACGTTGGACAAAATGTTCACATACATACGCTAAAGGAGTGCTTCAGTTTCAAGTGACATAAGCCTTTGATAGGGACTCGGAGCTCTCAAATGAGAACAAAACCTCTTTCTCTGACAATGTAGAGCTTTAATAAAACGAACGAAATGATATGCGCATTTGCGTATGATTGAAGTACATATATATTTTAACATGGATAAATGAGGATATATTTAAAAGGATTATTTGCCTTTTCAATTATTAACACTTAAATATTACTTCTTCTTCTAAAAGTTGTTGTATTGACTACCTACCTAATGCCTCTAGTTTGGCAACTACTGACCTATATAAAATGACGGTAAACAACATAAAGTATATGCGCCCTCCTTTCTGCCAAGGAGGGTCGCGTCTGTATAAGGCTTAGAAATCTCTAGTTAGACCGTGAAGCCAGTCCCTAAAAGGTTGGGTTTAGTGGGTAAAAGTCACCACATAACCACGCAGCCGGCTGCGTGGTATGCTATGAGCATTCCCCACCTCCCTCCCCCGTTTTCCGGAGGGTTGCCCATATTTGCTTCGGGCGCAAAAAAAAACATAGAGTATCAGTCTACTTTGTGCTAGGAAAAAGTAATCAAAAATATCTATATCATATTATACTAAATAGATATAGATATAGTTGTTTTCTTAAACTTACCTAAACTTAAATAAATTAAACTATATCTTATTCCAAGCATTTGAACCAAACTGTTCGCTTCGTCTTTTGTAATGCGTACAGCAAAGGAGTGGAATGAGTTGCCGGCGTGGGGGGCCCTCTCTGTAGCCCTTGCAGATGGTAGTCGCCTACATCTAGATAATAGTGGCGGTGTCTATCTTTCCATCCAAATACAATCTGGACGTCTTCAAGGCAAGAGCGCATAGGCTTTTGTTACGCTAAGACAGTGCGATTTACCATCTAAGGCTGCACCACCACTTACCACCAGGTGGTATTGTAGTCAAGCACTAGCTTAAAATAAGTAAAAAAATCAAGTTGTTTTTGGTTGATCTATTTTACTTTTTTTGTATTAACTTAACGGTGTTCCATAAATGATTTATAAAATAAAATTCGTTACTGAGAGATATATCACTAAAATAATTTTAGGAGATATTCTAAAACACGTGTATATTACGGGCGTTGCTTACTATATTGCTTATTGATCGATGTCCTTTTTACGTAATATACGTTTTTGTATAATATGAAATATTTTAAAATTTAAAGCTAAAAACTTAAAATATTATATAGCTCTATTCGTCTCAGTATAGAGCAGAAAATTGCTAGTTATAATTTTAGGATACCGTTAAGTCTCGTGGTGTCTCTATCACTTTAATCAAATTGAGTGTGACACCACGAGACTTAACGACATCTTATCAATTCAATCAAAATCAATTTCATTACAAAAATTCACTTCCATTCCGTTCCGCAGCAGTGTAAGTTGGGCCTTACGAGCTTTACAAAAAGCAGAGTGTGGATTACACCCAACTCCTTCCCTCCCATGACAACCAACATGAAATCACAAAACATGGAATCTTTCTTTAATGTCGAGCGATTATTTACAAGAGAAGGATATATAATAAATAAACATAATAATTTCCCGAAGATACTAAGAGTATTTCTAGATGAATTAAATGTTAGTTTACGAATAAAAAAGTAATTTTCTCGGTTTCGGTCTGTATGGAAAACATGTAATATAATAATTGTAGCCAAAAATGGCTTAAACTATGGGATTATGCTTAAAATTCTAGATTTAAAAAAATCTATATTATATTGTCATCTATATTTTATACAATCCAATCCTGCTAGAATCGAAGGATCCTACTAAACCTTGTTACACTGGCATGATTCATACTCGAGTCATCTACGTAGATCAGGCGCCTTCGAGGTACTCTTGAGATGAAAGGGCGTCTAAAGTATCTACGCACACCGTGTCCTATACGTCATATACATAATGCAGAAGCACTCTAGACGAAACAGACTTTAAAATAAGAAAAAAAAAATAGTAAAATTACTTTCTTACAATACTTTTTTCAAGATGAACAATTCTTTTGTCGATATCCGAATGTAAAGCTTTAAATCTTGAAGCGACAGTAGCCTAATGGCAGGGCGCGGACCACGAACTCAAAAAAAGTCGTGGGTTCGAATCCGCCATTCGACTACTGGCGTGAACCACTCGTAACACAAGCAATTTATTAGTAATGTTTATAGCATTGTTAATATTCTTTTAAAAAAATCTTTATTATAAGGTGGTAGGAATCGTTTTCTGGCTAAGAATTCGCCCGTGTAGGCACCACGCTCGTATATTTTTCTGCCGTCGAATGGCGTACACCGCAGTTTCGGACCGATCGGTTTAGAGAGACAGAGCCAGTATATTTCAAACGTGGTAGAGCCACGCTACAGCTATATTAAAAAGTATATAGTGGAATTACCCTCTAGAGAAGACTGTCTGAATGGACAGGTTATCTGTGAGGTCAGTAGCCTTATATAGTATACTGATGGGTCAAAAATGGGCCTCGACGTAGGTTTTGGAATTTATGGTCATCCCCCAAATTCAAACTTAGTATGAATTTGGGTAGATTCACCTCTACCTTCCGAGCTGAAATTTTCACCACACTTCAATGTGCGGAAATCGATGTGCAGAAACACTACGTGAACCATATTATCTATATAAACGCTGATAGTCAAACAGCACTGCTAGCACTGAGATCTCTGAACTTAGTGAACTCAAAGCTAGTTGGAGACTGCGTGGACCGTCTAAACGCACTGGGATGTAGCAACAGGGTCGTTTTAAGATGGGTTTCGGGTCAAGCGGGTATTGTAGGCAATGAACTACTCAGACTTCAAGTCCTCAGAGGTAACAACCATAGAATACACAATAGAATGGCTGTCAACATTGTTTTTGTACGAGAGTCGGCGTCGTCGGGAGCACACATACAATCAATTACGTCGAATTATCACTACTACAAAGTACAAACCCGATTCGCTGTGTTGACTAACTGAGTAAATTTACACATTTTAGACTTTTGATTAATGTTCAAGATCATCATTTAAAAAATCGTTTAAATTTTAATACATATTTATTTGTAAATGGTGTGCAACATGGGCATTTTCTAAATAATTTGCAAGCGAAATTCGGAAACGATTGTAACGTCAAAACATATCTCGTGTTGACATTTATACGTGTGAATTGACATGTTAGTGACATGTTAGTGGCTACACGGGCTCCGCCCACTCCCCGTTCTATTATGTATGTATTATAGTATTCTATGGTATCAACGCATCATCCCTGCATGTTCCCTGTTTTCTGTTCTGTGCACTTTGAAGATTGCTACAGATGTCCATGAATTGCAGTAACCATTTACCATCAAATACATTGTAAGTGCGGACATAAAAACTGATTTTAGAGTAAACATGTATGCAATTAAAAACATAACTTGTAAAAAAAAACCAAGTCTCGCAACTCAGTTCTTCTACCGTAAAAAGTTGTGAGATCCATGTAATACCAAGTCGGTTAATTTATTCAGTTCCTACTTAAGGGTCCTTCTGTTTTAAGTTATTACGTAATTAGCTAACCTAACACATTTTATAGTGACCATATCAATGTTAAAAGTCTTTTATGTTTTAAATATATAGATTGACTTGGCCATCGCATGAAACCACAATGTATCTCACAAGTAATACGTATTGTATTAAATTAGATTGCTTAATGCGATTGCCGAGTCAATCTATATATTAAAAATATAAAAGACTTTTAAAATTGATATGGTCACTATAAAATGTTGTTAGGTTAGGTAATTACGTAATAACTTAAAACAGAAGGACCCTTAAGTAGGAACTGAATAAATTAACCGACTTGGTATTACATGGATCTCACAACTTTTTACGGTAGAAGAACTGAGTTGCGAGACTTGGTTTTTTTTACAAGTTATGTTTTTAATTGCATCTCATTTCTTTTTGTATATAAGATAGTCTTAATTTTTTACCTTTCCAGTACCTTCTACTTCTTGAGTACCAACAACGTACCTATGTACACCTGTAATACATATTACAAGTACACTGGTTCATTCACTGCAAATGTAACTTTGTAATTCTATATATTTATAAGGGATTACAAAGTTATTTATGCAGTTAGTGTATCTAGAAAACTGGATAGAAATTAACAAATGTTTTAGTTTTTCCTTGATTTATACTCTAAACACTAATTGCATTCTAAATTTGAAGCTTCTATGTCTGCTAGAAGTGCCAGTTTTGATGATCGGTCAGTCAGTGAGTGACAAAATTAAGAAAGTTTAACTGGTTACAATTCTTAAACTGCTGGTTCAAATTGAATGAAATTTGAAATATACCATATCTATACAATGCTTACTTGGTTACTGAAAATTAAGGCTTCTAGTTTTATTGACCACGAAGTTATAGGGGGTCGAAAATGACCTGAATTGCTTCGAGAAAAGATGGTACGGCCGTGCCGCTTTTTTGCTCGACTTGGCGGGGGCACTGCCGTGCCCCCAGATACGCAAATAATAAGGTAATTAAATGGTATAATATCTACAAAAACCAATAGTTGTGAAGTCAACAAACCTATAAAACTTTAAGAGATCCTGATTTAATTATGTATCTACCATTGAAGACCCATTATAGTTATTTATCGCCATTCGATAAATTTAAGTAGGTGTCTGGCATCCAAGTATTAAATACACAATGATGTAATAAAACACGATAATAATGAAATGAACCAATAAAAATCCCATCACGTATATTCTTAACATAACATCTCTCGTATATACGGACCTGTTAATGTTTCTCCAATGCGCCAATAATGCAGACCACATAACAGTGATAATTGCGTGAGTAGTATAACAATATCTGATCGCATTTGCAACTGCGCATAAAAATTTAATCTAGTATTTATAATTATACGATATCGTGTTTCGATTGAAGGCAATTGTCGTGCGGACAGGCAATAGAGACTCGAGTGATGACCGACCTTTATAGCACTTTATGCCAAACGAACACGTAAACAAACGATCGAGGGCGATAATTGAGCGTAAAATGCCACGGGGGAACTGTTTTGATAACGTTACGAGGTACTACCGGCGTGTGGTCGACGAAAGCTCGGCTCTCTTCGTGTTAAAATGTATTAAAATTGTGACAGATAGAATTATATATAGTTTAAATGAAACGAAATAATCTCTTCGATCTAATACACTGAATTTTTAATTCTACTAATGATCAAAAAGCACACAGTATACTTGAACACTAAGACATGCCAATAGGCACTAAATGACATATTACTTTCTTTATAAAGGAATGGATGACAAACAAGGACGCCTATTGGTATATGAATGCTGTGGTCCATACTCCATTGGCAGCATATCTACATATATGCAGATTTTATCCTGGACTAACATGAAGTGCGTCGTTACTAGTTAAAAAGGGTCTCTGGTTCTTGTAATTAACAGAAAATTTGGTTTACAAATTATTCGTCGTTCGGACTTCTCGATTAGGGTTGCCAACTTTTTTGTGTCAAAGACAGTATTTTTGAGGCGATTGCCTATAAAAAATTACTTTATTTTAAAAAATTAATATTTTTGATGCCACCTTGAACCTTTATTACAGCCTTTATTAACCTTAACAGCCTCTCGCTCTCGCCACAGTCAGCCTTAAATATTTTTTGAAAATATTATTTGGAATCGTAATATAGTAGGATATTACATATTATATTATAAAGTGGGTGGCAGCCCTACTCTAGATTCGAGATTTGGATATTGCGTTAGAGACACAATGTAAACCACAGTTTATCCATACCCGGAAACCCACAACTTGTTTCCTTGAGAATGAGGATTTAATCTTATACACGCGACTCTAGTCGGGTTCTCTAGCTGCAACGCTCAAGGTCTTCATTTCCTAATAGATAGAAAAATCTATAGTCTAAGACTAAGAAATTTCCGGAACAAACTACCTGCTAGATGCAAAATCGTAAGTAGGTTTTTTAGAACATATAACTAGAATTTTCTACTTTTAGCAATACCCCAAATCTTTGTCATTTCTATTTTTATTATTTAGAAATACCTTACATAAAAAGGTGTCTATTTTAAAATAAATTATGACGTCGTGTAATGGTGTTCGGTTATATCGATATATTATCTATAGAAAAATTCATTTGGACATTTCGTATTGCAAAGGATTCCACGACACCACTCAAAAATGAGGTGTAATATTAGACAATTCATAGCGGTGAAGTTAATATGTTCAAAAATGTAAAGGTTAATTTGTACTATTAGTTATGTTTTACACATTTAGATTGAAAGTACACAGATATTCATAAAAGAAGAAAAAAGCAAACCATTGAGGTATTGTTTTGTATATTAAAATAATATTGTAGAAACTGATAAACTTTAATTTAAAACTGATTTCTCAATTAAATGATATTGTGTGAACAAAAGCTTCTTCACCTCAGTGTCAGCTGGCGACATTTGATGAGCGGAAGATTATTTAGATTATAGCCCTCATTGACTTAGATTCAATTACCCTATTGTAGCACTATAATTTAAAATTGCTTACGAAATTTTGGAAATCCCTAAATGTATAGCTATAGCGGATAAATTGGATATCCCCATGACATTCTCCAGCGTTAGCGTTAGTATATGTCTAATTACCAACATTGATGATAAGGTTTGGATAATTAATACTACTGTTTTATTTCGCAGAAAAGTTTTGTAAAAAATAAAAAATTATTATCTGAACTAGATGATTGATAATTACCGCCTTGCTTACTAATCTAACGATATAACACTTCTAAACCTAGCCGTTATTAAGGCTACTGAAGACTTCATAAGAACTGACAAAAAAGTGCAAATACCAGTAAACGAAAATGCTCGCCATTCAATACAAACGCCTATCATACTTACTTCTGGTCAAAGTTGTACTGCGAGTTGAGGACGGTGAACATCTTCTCGTACAGTATACCGAAGAAGTCGTCCATCATCTTATCGAAGTTGGTATCGCCGCGGCTGTAGTAACTGGAACAGAAGGAATGTTACATTAATTTCCCATTAGTTGATAGTTAGAGAGAAAATTCATCAAGGCGTTGAGTACGCATGTCACTCACCCGTGAACGGAGACGTGGTTACTACCCGTAACCGCTTGTCAAAGTCCTTACCCTTGTGCTGAACACAGACCTTACCCATAGATTGCCTCATAGGGCAATATTTGTCAAAGTTGCCACACTTGGCGGGCGCGTTGGCAACTGCAGTTTTTTTTTTAAATTTTCTAGTTGTTACAAGCAGACGCTGCTGCACATCTCTTGGCTTCTCTCTGTCGCGTCTTACGACACCCACGGGGCTCTATGGGGTAATAGATACTATACGGTGAACAACAGAGACACGGGGACAAGACAGAGTAAAATTTGTCTTTGACCAGAATTCGAACTTAGTTCCGCCGACGCACGTAGAAAATAAATATCATAGTGCGAACAAGTCAAAAGTTAAATATTTTTATACATGATTAAAACTACTTTTACGGATTTTATCGCGTTTATTTTACTATTATTTTTAATTCCCGACGTTTCGGGCGCTTTCCAGCACCCACGGTCACGGGGGACTGAGATGACTGACGTCCCGATGTCATTGTTAAACCCGGAGTACCTTCAGCTTTTTTAATTATTGTTTATGGTCCGATCTATGCAAAATGAACTGACTATGTCCTGAGGTCTTGCAGTGGTATGCTTGGGTTTAGTTTTAATTTTATTGATTTGTGGTCTATCAAATTTGATGTGATGGTTGGGTCCGTCTAGGATATGATCACAAACTGCAGACTTCCCGGAACGTTGATCTGAAGTCTGCAGTCTGTGATCATATCCTAGACGGACCCAACCATTACATCAGATTTGATAGACCACAAATCAATAAAATTAAAACTAAACCCAAGCATACCACTGCAAGACCTCAGGACATAGTCAGTTCATTTTGCATAGATCGGATCATAAACAATAGTTAAAAAAGCTGAAGGTACTCGGGTTTAACAATGACATCGGGACGTCAGTCATCTCAGTCCCCCGTGACCGTGGGTGCTGGAAAGCGCCCGAAACGTCGGGAATTAAAAATAATAGTAAAATAAACGCGATAAAATCCGTAAAAGTAGTTTTAATCAATGTGTAGTGTTCGCGTAAATATAAGAAATCATTATATTTTTATTCAAGTCTAAAATTGTTATGAATATCAAATCGTCATATCACCACCAGTTCGCAAAAACAAGACCTTAGAACAAGACCTTCTCAGAAAGGAATCAGTAAAAAATAGCGGTTTTTAAATGCCATATTAGAATTTTATTGTGGTAATGTTACTTTGCCGTGTAGTGGCGGCGCGGCGTAAACTAATCCAATATACCCCATATCGTCCTCTGTGTATTGTAAGAGACGACAAGGGGAAACTAAAATGGGAGATTGGCAGCAGCATATAAAAACTGCGGTTGGTGACCCGCTTGCCAAGCGTGGCAGCTTTGGCAAATATCCCTAATATATTGGAGAGTCCACAATGCTACACGGTAAGCCGGTCGTGACGGGGGGCCGGTTATAAGCCCCCGCTATCTGAATATGTCGTCTTCAAGTAGTCACGTACGGGAATCGTAATGAAATGAATATAAAATAAATTATTAATTTTTTATAGAATAAGGAAATAATATAGTATATATTGTTTAAACCTAAAACGAGAGTGGGAAGTACCTATGAGGCAATCTATTGGGGAATCCTATGTTAAACAGTGGCCAGTGGCAAGGTGTAACGGTAAGTCAAGTAAGTGCTTAGACTTATAGTAAGAATAAATATGTATATGTAAATAAGTTATCGACTCTGGTTTGTGTTTAAAGTTTGACATGCAAATAATAATACAAAACAACAAAACATGCGAGTTACTATTTGCAATAATGTTTGCTTTATTTAAATAGGTTTTGTTATTTTTGAACAGAAAAACAATATACTTTATGAATAGGGGGGTTCAGTCAATAGAAACACCCGACAAAGGTACGTTCGCGGAGGGTGCAATCAATGGATTTCTGCGACACCAGTTACTATAGCTAGCCAATTGTTTTTCGTTAAAAATGTTGTGTTTCTAATTGGAGTCAACTTTTTAAATAAAACTACGATTGCAATACTGAATTGTAAATTATTTTATGACACAAAAAGAATAAATGAATAAAATGTAGATGTACCAGCGCATCATAAAAATCGTGGTAAAGTAAAAAATTGACTTTTAATAAGAATTACTTGTAATCTATATTGAATAAAAAAATATTCTATTCTATTCTATTCATAAGTATTAATCCTTTCCCAGTCCCATTAATTATATTATATGAACATTTCAATTGTTTAACTATTGTGTTTGCTTCGCGGAGAGGGAAACTGTAAGAAACCTTTTCAGGTGGTTATACTTACAATATGTTGGCTTGGATTTTAGACAAAAATTCAGTAAACTGTAACCTGTAAAATCACAGAGGGAAGAGAGAAATAGCTCTTTTTGACTACTCCTGATGAAAATCATAATGAACTACTCTTTTAGTGTAAGCAGCTATCCAGGTGTAGCAGGACCAGTGTAATTGCGACTACGATGGTCTATCAGGATCGCTGCTATGGTAATAGTTCACTGCTAAGCCCTACATGTTTGAACTGAAAGAGTTGCTTAGCTATTAGTATTTCTATTTATTCTGGGCAAACTTTATAGTTTATTAGAAAAGTGTTTGTTGGCGCATTAAGAGTCCGCAAACAGTTAGTAGTTTCCGAGAAGTTAAGTAGCAGAGTTGGTACATCTGTGAGTTGTTTAGGCCTAAAATAGTCATGTGTTTTTTAAGTGCTACGTCTAGAAGGGGCTCTTGCCATTATACGCAATTTTTCCTTCCCCAATCCCAAGGCTTCTGAAGCGAATTTATGATAATTTTTTCGGATTAAGGTTTTGGAATGTTTGGCTAAAGCCCGCAAAGCCTGGTGTATCGGACTAGATTTTGATTGTCAATATTATAATAACTGTCAGTAAGTATTTTGTAATAATTTATGTACATTGAATAAAATTATACTATTCTACACTATTCTATTGATTTTTTGTTGTAGTGTTTCAAAAGTCATTTGGGTCAAGTCGAGTCCTACTTAGTTTTGTTAAATAACTAGGCATAAATTTTAAATACATTACTGTATTTACGAATACAAGTAGTAGATTTTACGTAAAGTATGAAAATAAAAATTCCTATAAATTAAAAAAATGAGCATATTATAGTCTTCCGATTCACAAAACAATACAATCATTAGCCGCGTTTTTAATTTGCATTTGCCTCTACTTACTTCTGTAGTTGCTCGAACAACTGCTCGAACACGTACGAGTGCTGCTCGTAGATCATGCCGTACGTCCGCTTGAACATGTTGTGAAACTCCTCCCGTGATACTTTCAAGAGCTTTCGAAAGAATTCTGCAACAAAAAAGAAGAAGGCGTAAGTATATTCAAAAAAAATTGTAGCAGGTATTTACTTGTTAGATTTGAGTCACATCCTCATAACGTATGCCTTTCCCGGTAAAAGTGAACTGACCACACAAGCATTTCTGCCGCCAAACATTAGTGTCACACTGTGTCCAGGTCTGAAAAGCATAGAGGCAATCATACAACGGGCTGTGAAGCATTTCATTTTAGTCCTAAGAGGTGACCACGCGTCTATAGACTTCTTTGTTTGAAGTTGGCTACGAATGTCCATGGACGATTGCAGTACCTACTTACAAACAGGTAGGCTGTAACTTCGTCTTTCGTTTGTCATTTCTGTTTAAAAAAATAATATGTCAAATAAAATGTAACAAAACCAAATATGATAAGAAATCAGGCTAAGCAAATAAACATTGAGTTCATTGACATATCTAGTTTTTTTTTCTGATAACCTTCGATCCAATGCTTTAGCAAACACAAATATTGAAAAAAGTTCGCACACTAACACGCTATAACATTGCAATTGAATAAGAGGGAAAATGGGCATGTATTGTTTTTTTATATTGTTTACAATCTTCATTATCATTTATTACCGTATACGCCGTAACGCCAAATTACTAAAGTATTTAGTGTTGCTTTTTATGAAGTTTGAACTTTAAAAATTTAAACAAAAAAGGTTGGGTATAGAATGTGGCTGCCCAATCGACATAATAGTTTGCTTATGTATACTCCAAAGGTTGCTCTTATTCTTTTCTTTTTAAGTTTTTGAGAGCTTATTTTGCAATGTATTTCAAAAAGCTATGTAATGTATTTCATAAAGCTATCAAGCTTTGTTTCATATATACCCAAATAAAACCAATCCAATTTCGTTACAAAATTTACAAAAAAAATTTTTTTTTTTCATTTATTTATCACTTAAAGAAAAACAGGTACATCAAACATGCAAATGACACCGACAAAAAAACCACTGATGTTTGTCAACAGTGCGAAGCCTATTGTTTCAATTAACATAAAATATTTATTTATGATTTAACCTAAAAAAGGTGTTTTTGTATATCAATTGGTCTAGGTACTTATTTAATTATGCTATCGAGAAATAAGCTAATTAAGTTTGAAATTACTGGACGAAGAAGAAAGTATCTCTTAAGTTTGCTTTTAATATTATTATATTATGTAATTGATTTATAACAACTTAAGAGTCTACTGCGTAATATAGGCCTCTTCCCTATTGCCTCATCAGGAGGATTTCGCCATCATTGCCACGGTTGGCAGGCAAGTTGGTAACTGTGGTTTTTTTATAGAAGAGTGGGCAAACGAGCATGCGGCTCACCACCACCGCCCATGATCAACCGCAACACCAGGGAAATTGCAGGTGCGTGCGTTGCGGTACTTTAGAAAGGAGTAAGCTCTTTTCTTGAAGGTCCCTAGGTCGTATCGGTCCGGAAAAATCGCCGGTGGTAAACTATTCCACAGAAAAATCGTACGCGGAAGAAAACTCCTAGTGAAACGTACTGTGGTGGACCGCCAATCATGCAGATGGTGTGGATGGTATCGGGACGATTGCCGCGTAGTGCGTTCACGAAATTTGTCGACTGGGATTAATCCGAACAATTCCTCAGTGCACTCCCCGTGGTATATACGGTTTCTTTTAATTTGAGTTATTATCAGGAATATACTGCTGCTCATCTCCTGTTTTCGTTTCCCTGTGTCTGTCTTCTTCCACTGCACGGTTACTGTACGTTAGATAAATCATTATTTTAGGTATGTTAAGTAATTCCGTCCGTTCGCCGTACCTATACGTTTTTTGATTTGAACTGATCATTAAAGTTGCCACACTTCTTCGTCGTATCCATAAGAATTCATAATTTTACGTGGTAGAGCCATGCTGCAGCTATATTGTGGTTGCAGCGCTAATAGGTCGGCTCGACCGGGGTAGGACCACGCTCTCACAGAATATCAGCGTAAAATAGCAGATTAAGACGTTTCCCCTAGCGAACAACCTTGAGCGTTCGGTCCTATACAATCCACGCGTTCTCGCTACAATTATATCGCGTAAAAATACGCCCGAATTTTTGGAATTATTTCAATTAAAAAAGAAAAGCGAACTTAATAAATTAAATAAAACGTGGATGAAATAGATTTTTAAATTATCTATCCATTAGTGTAATCCTCAAATGATTAGAGTAATTTTAGTCATTTTTTAAAAGTAAATTTTAAATACATTTATAACGCATAAAAACAAATTAGAACGTGGAATGTGATGATAGGATACCGAACATTAATAACGTGCTTTTAGATGTAGCTTATTTCTCATAACTAATGAGATAATAGTCTCTGAAAAACACACTTTTGCAAGGTTTTAGTCGGGGTACCGCCTTAATGCTGCTGAGTTTCGTATGTTGAGTGTAGAGAACCAGAAACACATTTTACTGGAAAAAAGGTATTCCATCTAAATCCTCAGGTCTGGCAACGCATCTGCATTTTGATTTTTAATAGAAGATAAATGTAGATGTCTATGGGCCACAACATCACACAGTTTACATGATGGTAAGTGACCATCAGGTAAACTATGCGCACGTTTTTCACCTTTTTTCTATAAAAAAGAACAGCTTTATTCACAGCTTTTCTATTCTCTTTATTAGCCCGGTAATAGTCTCAGCTAAGCATGGGGATTCAAAGGACACCGTTGTAGGAACGATATTCCGTAATCGCCCAATTGCAGACTAATTAGTAATAGCAAAAATCGCCGGACTGGCTACTTTATACATGGCAGACATTGTTTGTATGGATTACAATACTGAGTAATCGTTAACTAGAATTTTTCTACTAAAACTTAAGTACCAAAGAGAACTAAACATGCTGCAGCATATAGTATTATCACTACAGCACGAATGTGTCGACTCGACTGGGAAAGCATCATGCTCTCACGGAATACACGCGGCTGTTTTGCGTATGAGTGGAGAACCGGAGAGCTTTTTTACTGAAAACGAGGCTTTTCATCTTAGTCCTCAGTGGTGACAACGCATCTGCATTTTATATAATCGAATGTAAATGTAGATCTCTATGGGCCACAGTAGGCTTACAATCAGGGGGACTGCATGTTTGTTTTTCATATTTATTCTATAACAAAAACCCTATTTTTAATCCTTTGATAAACGAAATTATTATGTGGAATTCTGAGGTCACGTTATTTTTATAATGTAATTATCAGAATTTTATTATTTTTCAAAATAATGACATCAGACCAGAATGACTCAACTTCACCGGCCGACCGAATGAGTAATCGAACATCGTAAGAATTGCCGTCGCGAAATCAAAAAATTAAAAATAAAAACATTCCAACATTTTAACGACACCGATAAATCAAATCAAACTGTAAACATGGACGAACCGTTCCCGCGCCGGTATCACGGACAGAAATAGTTCTTTGTGCTAAAACAGTTCGAAGTAATATCACCGAGGTCTAACTGTAACTGCACTTGATTTAAACTTAATGGCGGCTGTGAAATTCACTGCGAGTGCGGTTTCGAGCAGAATACAATAATGTATGCTTTAGTATACACTACATATATTTAAGTGTCGATTCCAAAGAGTTAGTAATTACTTCATGGAGCAATGTATACGCTTTTACAATAAAGTCACAGAAAATATGCAGGAATAATCTCTATAAGTTTAAAATGTTTGTTAAACAAAACTTGCTTATTAAGGGTTATTATACTATTAAAGAGTATATGATTGATAATAAAAAACCCCTGGGAATGAGGTGTTCGCTACCATGATGTTTCTAATTGTTTCATAATGTCTTTGATTATATACAGGTATATAATCATTTACTATATAAAATATTGTATAGGTATAATAAGTCCCGCTGTTCTTCCCAGGACAGAGGTATTTTTGCGAACCAGTGCCAAAACTTAAATGACTCAATAAGGATTTTTGTAACATAATATATTGAATTAAAATGGTACTATTCTATTTTGTAATATCGAAATAACTAGCTTTATTATAACCGTTACTCATGGGGGGATAATTGCCAAAGTTGCCACACTTGGCGAGCGGGTTGGCAACCGCAGTTTTGGGGTTTCTAAATATAAATAAATAAACACTCACGCCTGTCACCCAGACGGGTAAGCAGAGACTACAGAGTTCCATTTGCCACGATCCTGACACACCTCTTTCCCCTCCTTTTGGGGTTCCTCCGCGTGATAAACTTAGAAATGAGGATATCCGCAGTAGAATCAGAGTGACCGACATAGCCCAACGGATTAGTAAGCTGAAGTGGCAATGGGCCGGCCATATAGCTCGAAGAACCGACAACCGTTGGGGAAAAAAGGTTCTCGAATGGCAGCCTCGTACCGGTAGGCGAAGTTTAGGGCGACCCCCCACTAGATGGAGTGACGACCTGGTAAGACATGCAGGAAGTCGATGGATGCGGTGGCTCAGGACCGTGCTTTGTGGCATACCTTGGGGGAGGCCTATGTTCAGCAGTGGACTTGTGAAGGGCTGTAATGATGATTATAACCGTTACCGTTTTTAAAATTTTCTCTGGGCTAATATTAGACATAGTTGAAGCAATTGTAATTTTTGAAAATTTCACGAACATATATGCTATGCCAAGAGTAATCTTAGGTCATACTTTATCCAAAAACTTGAGATATTTTTGGGAAATTTAAGAATTAATAAAATAAATGGTGGTGATTAATTAAAATATTGAAAATGACGCAACATTAATAGTTCAATGCTATACAGGCGACGCAGGGGGGGTCGCTATCGCAAGTGAAAAATTCAATCATTAGTTACAGGTTTATAAGCAAAGAAAAATAGTCACAATTTACATGAATTATACAAAACCTAATTTGCATTTGTTTCTAATCCTAATATACGTACGACAAATATCACAACAAGAGTAACGATCCTCAACTAAGGTGGGTGGACCATGGAAGGCCATGCTCCTTCGAATGCCAATTATTAAAATGTCGTAGTTATTGCCATTT